GAGCTAATGGAAGTAACCACTTATGTTTGCCTTGTTATTGAATCAAAGCGAGCATTGGAGACTGAATGACTATGGTAACTTCCCAAATGAATGCAGCATTAGGTCATCCAGTCCTGTTGAATGTGCAGCCTGAGAGTCTGAGCTCAGGGCAGCAAGGTCTCCTGCCCTCTCTCACGCCCAAAATTCAGTCAATGTTAACATAGAGAGCTGCATTTGATTTAGGTGACAATCCCGCTCAATGGGAAAGCTTATCAGGGCCGTGGGAAGAGCGCCATTAATGTTTTACTTTAACCTGGGCCTTCCTGTTTTCAGGTCCAACTGACGTGAGATCTAAACACTCAAAAGTCATAACAATACAACACATGAATTTGTTTCACATCTTAAATCTAGTTTTTATTTTACTTTTGAAAACTCTTATGAGATATTCCAAATGGCCCTACATATCTGTTGTTGTTTAATGAAGTCATTTACTAAAATAGTGTTAGTGCCTAAACAGATTTGTCATTATTGTGGCTAAATGAAATTGATGGCGCAGTTAAATTGCTGCGGGACCGCCCTTTTCATACATACATGCATATCTTTCACCAATCTTGTTTTTTCAAAGACTCACAAATGAGAATTCAATCACAATATTCTTTGGATACATATATATTTTTTAAATTCCTTAAATTATTACAGCTATCTTTTTGACAACATTGGAGTTTTTGGAATTGCTTGGATCTATGCAGCCACTACCTGAATCTAATATTATAGTGTAAATTGTATAATAATCATAATAATATAAATGTAGCCAGACCTCATCTCCAACTGTGCAGGAATGTAAAAGACCTAGATATAATGGGTTTATAATCTAGAGATATCTAAATAATAATAAAAAGAGACTTTTTCAAGCAGCACATATAACTGTGGTATTCACACAGTAAATAAAACTACGATATGAACATCAGGATCAGCGTACCTGGTGAGAGGCCTATGAGGGAGCGGTTGGACAGGGTGTTGTTTCCGTTCATTTTGAAGTGAATAGGGATGGAGGCGAGGATGGCTTGCAGGTACTTCTCTTGTTCGAGACTACTGGAAGAATCTGAAGACGAGGCAGGAGCTAAAAGCACAACACAACACTTGATTAGGACAGGAAATGTTTTATAGGCTTTTTCTACAGGCTTAATAACTGATGTAAACAGTTGAGATTATATTACAAGCTAGTTCATTTTAGTTTGCTGTTATTCCTGGAGATCTGTTAACCTAAGAAGCAAGTGAAAAACGGAGAAAAATTAAACAAGACCTCCTAAACTCGTGAAAGCCCACCTGTTGAGGAGGGGTTCTGCGACTTGAACAGTCCCACGACACTCTTGCCGTGGAAGCCTCCCGAGCGGAGCAGCACGGCTTTAGTGCGAGGATGTTTCCAACACACCGCGGGCAGACGGTTGTGTCTGTAGCAGCGCGCCACTTTGTGTAAACTGCTGTCCTGCACGGCCTGAGGAACCACCAACAGCCCCGGGTAACTGACGGAGAGAGAGAGAAACACACATATTAGGAAAAACATGGTCTTCCAGGAATAAAACACTGCAAAGCCATTTGTTTATACACAGAGACGCAGATGAATAGGGGGCTTCTTGCTGAATTTATATTAAACGTCTGAGTGGGATTAGGACTGTATTAGTTACAGTGCGTTTGTTTTTGCACACCAGGAGGAATTCGAACCGAGCTGTCTCAATTCATATGTCTAACATCTGTCTGCCAGGTAACGGAGTGAATCCCTACTGGCTAATTTGAAATATTGAGGCTTACAAAGCTTCCTCTTTGCATCTTGGACATTATTTATCGAATATATCATATTCAATGATGACTTGTATATAGACTCTTCTTGCACTATTTCTATTTTATTTGTATTTACTTGCACATCTCAAAACAATCTCTGGCACTATTTTATCTGTTTTATTTGTTCTATGTCCTATATATATATATATATTCATGTTGCACTGTTGGAGGAGCCTGCGACTTAAGTTTTTCATTGCCATATCTACACTGTAGCCAATGTGCAAATGACAATAAATCTTTAAAACCTGGAAACTAATGTGGTCAGTGCTGACGTTAGAGGAATGTAACTTTAAAAGGTGTCCAGCCTGTGGAGTGTGTACCTGCGGCAGAGGGAGTACAGTCTGTTTACGGCCGTGATCCTGAACTGCTCGCCCGACTTGGACCGAGATGAGCTGGCGGTGATGGTGCCCAGGCCCATACGCTGGTAGTCACGGAAACAGGATTGCTCCACCAGCTGCTCCATGGTGGATTTCTCCGAGGCTCTCAGGGTGCTGCTGGGCGGCGGCTCACCGTCGTCTGATACTGAAACACATAGACATTCATAGGGGTTTACATTCATTCTCCCATCTCGCTCCGCACCATGATGAATGTGTCCTTCTTCCTCTCACTTGAAATGTCGTCGTCTTCATGCCAGGTCATCCTGCTGCCTCTGTCGCTCTTCTTCAGTGTGGTCTGGCTGCCGCGGCCCATGGTGATCATCCCTGCCCTCTTCGCTCCTTTGACAATGGTTTTGGAGAGGGTTCTGTGAGGAGTGCAGAATATAGGAGAGGTTTTAACTAATGATGACACCACTCGGTTTTACTCGACATCCATGTATTATTGGTTTTACTTTCTTTCTTTTTTTGTATTACTGCTGCTATTGATGAATTGCTGTTGGGTGGGGAATTTCAGTTTTTTAATCCATGTAAAGCACTTTGTGACGTTGTTTTGAAAAGTGCTGTATAAATGAAGTTATTATTATTATTATTAATATCGCAAAATATTTTAATCAGTATTAAAACTTTTTCAATATTTCCTAAAGAGGACAAACTGCTGAGGCATGACATTATATGCACTTATAATTCAGGCGAAATTCAAAACTACTATTGATGTTTTTAAAAAGAAGCATTAAATGTTTGTTGCCATATTTTATAATATTTTTCTTTATGAAATCGCTTCAGTATTGTCAACGTACATTTATGAGAATGCTGACTTATAACTAAGTGGAGGGTGCTTACACCTTTTCCAAAGTCAAATTCAAGCACTTTTCAAGCATTTTCAAGGTGCATTGGAAAATGCACCTTGAAAATGCTTGAAAAGTGCTTGAATTTGACTTTGGAAAAGGTGTAAGCACCCTCCACTTAGTTATAAGTCAGCATTCTCATAAATGTACGNGTTCTGATGAACTAAAGTGGGAAAAGTACTGCGGTGTGAACGCGCCTAATAACACCAGATTTAGATTATGGGCCTAATGTTTTTGTTTTTGTGTCCTTCTTGACTGTTAAAACATTGCAACATAAGTTTAAAGACACATTTGTTTCATATTGTAAGGAAAAAAATGTTGCCTCAATAAGAAACACTAAATATACTCTTCTTTTTTCTTTTTTCTTTTTTTACTAATGTTTGTTGTATTTCTACTTCGTCCTTTTGTTAGTGTAAACAGTCTTGTGCTTTCACTCGCTCCTGGTTTATAAAACGAGAAGATTATCCCTGGCTCTGGCACTGCATCATACTTAGATGAATACATCTGGAGGATATGTATTGTGTTTTGAGATACATAGTTGTGTTTGTGTTATGGTTCAAATATCTCAGTTTATGATATGTTTGTCTGTACCAAAAACACACTTAACCAACACACTTGGCAGCTTTTTCTAATTTTAATGCTGTGTTATTAAGACTTGTATTTCATAAACGTAATCTTTTTTTTGTCAGCCTCGTTTTAATTATTAGATTAGGGTGTTTCTTCAAAATAAGCACACCTCCTGGTTTCAGTGTATGGAACTGGGGAGTCCAGACAGGCAGCAGAGGAATGTATTTAGTCTAATAATTGAACCAAATCCTAAGAATAATGTTAGAATCTGACCAGCATTCTGAATGGGATATTTTGATCCCTGACTCCATGTTTCTGAGATACTGAAGCACTTATGGCATGTTTTTACTGCCTGGGGAAATAAACCAGATTGTGATAAGGGCTTTATTAGGAATGAGCACGGGGAGGTCAGAGTATCAGTGCTCCGATAGCCCCTGAGGATCCACCATAGAGACTATTATAACCAGGTCGAAGCTCCCGGGCGACAAGCCTGTCTGGATTTCGGGAGACGTAGATAACATGTTAGATTACATTGCAAAAAATACTTTACAGGGTTCCTTTGATGTGGTTTCTACTCAAATGTGCACTGATAATGCCGGCATTGTAACGCTAAATATTTAAATGCAGTTCTCTTTAACAGCATAACTCTGTTTTCCTACTGTTCGTTGTTTCTGTTTAAATGTATGCCAACGATTGCACGCTTTAGAGTACTAATACATTTAGAATAGAGGTGGTTTTAAGGGTCTACAATAAATACACTTGTTTCAACATCACAACAATTTTTAAGCATATTTTGTATTGTCTCAGATGTTTTGCATTTATTCGTTTTTTTATGTTTGTGGGGGAGGAAACAACATCAATCTTCTAAACTCTTTTTGGCTCTTCTCCATTTATATAATGTTGTCTGTTTGTCAGCGAGATCTTGTATTAACCTTATCAAGATTTTAGAAAATCTGTGTTCATTTAATGGCTCCAGTAGGATGAACAGCAGTCCTACATGGGGACAGATGGTGAAATGAGATAAAGGATAATCCAACTTTTAATAATGTGTTTCCTCTCTGGAGACAGAAGATTTTTTTTGTTTCGTTTGATGCTGTGACCTTTTTCTTCAAGAGTTTCACCCTGAATGTTTTTGTTTTGTATGAAGAATTACTTTCAGTTCAGCCCTTTTCATGACCCACCTCTCAAGTGAAACACAATTGAGTGTAAGGAATTGGGTGTCCATCCATACAAATTTGAGCAACTTTGTTAATTAAACTGCATTTGAGCATACATTACTCTACTGAGCACTATGTTGGAACACATCTTTTATATTTCCTTGAAGAATAACACATGAGGATGTTTAGTTCATGCCAGACGCGTGCTGGACAGTGTGATGCGTTTGAGGCACATGATGTATTCACAGGCTAAAGCAGGAGCTCAGGCAGTACATTCACGGTCTCTACTCCACGGCACTGTGCTGAACTCTTCAACTGAAATAGCTTATCTTCTTTTTTTCTATGTTTCAGGGATCAAAGAGTATTGAGGCTGATGGGGATGACGATGAAGAGGCGGAGGAGAATGGCCTTATCCAGCCAGCTCAAGTGTTTGCCCCAAAAAGTCTCATTATCGTGTCCAGGCTGGATTATCCCGAAATATTCCGGGTAATAAGACGCCACATGATTAAATCTTGATTAGTTTTATATCTTGTGCAGAAAAAATACTTTACATTTTTGTCAAATCACGGCTTTCATGTTTCAGCTCTGAGATGACGCTTATCTGCTTTGTACTGTCTGCTAAAAAGGCCTGAGTTTGCTAAAGTGTAAGCACACAATTCAGTAAAGTAAATGAGACATAAGCACCTCTGAGCTTTTCATCACAGACTCAGTAGATCACAGTCATGAAGATTCAAGGTCAACCTTGCTATTATTGTTAAAATGTTCTTGTGTAGGTGCTTTTAAAATTAAGCTGCCAGACATTACCTACAGTACATGTTACAGGCCATGTGTTTAAACGAGCTGTAATATTGCCGTCTATGAAGAGTACTTATCCTCTGTAGGTTCCCATGTGTAATGTTTTGGTTTTGTCCTTGCAGGGGTGCTTAGGGCTGATCTACACGGTGCACATCGATAGCCTGAGCTTCCCTTTAGAGGGTCTGGTGTCCAACCTTTTCACATTCCAGGTTCCTGTTGCTGGTGGATCCCAGGTGAGTCTTCACTGAGGCGAAGCTTGTCAAAGTACTAGATTCGGTACTCGCTGCTGCTCGCCTGTATTTAACGGGGCGACAGGTCAAGGTCAGATGTCCAAAATAGTTAGTCAGTGCTGCCTGACTGTGAGGCAGTGACTGTTAGTGGAGGCTCGATGTTGCAGATACTAAAGTGATTTATGTTGTCTGCGTGCAGCCAATCAAGACAGTCGTGTTCAGACGGTGCCAGAGATTGTTATCCAGCCACAGGCAGTGATTTTTGTCTAAAACATACTTGTCATTTTTTCCATCACTTTGCGTGGAGCAAAATACCTCGGCCTAGATTAGGACATCAGCGCCTTTAAATTGTTTTTATGACAGATTAAAGAAATGTATATTTAAAATGATTGACATAGCTTTGGTCGGAAAGTGTCAGAAGATGAGGCTTTAAATGCTGTGATTACTTACTTACACCACATGAAAAAGCAACCCGAAGCCAAAATGTGCTTCAATGTTATTAAACTATTAAAGTACATGTACTGCCACTGGGGAGAGGTCCTCATCACTCGGCTATAAATCACACTTTGTTTAAAAGACGGCTAATGTGCTGTAAGAGGGAAGAGTTTTGGCTTGTTCCCCAGCAAGACGCCACTTAGATCGTGTGTCCTTGAGTGTGGCTCCAGACAGATAGCAGTGGACCAGACTCATTTGTCAAAACAGCACCTAGTTAAACACCTGGGTATGTCAAGAATTTAATGATTGGAGACCTTGAGATACCTCTCATTTTTCTCTTGACTAAGGAATTTCACATTTACTACTTGCTACATCACAACGTCCGCCCACTTAAACTTCCCAGTAATAGGGATGGGATTGGCAAAGATAAGTTGATCGTGATGAATTTCTGTTATTGGGATAATTGTGCATACAAATGCATGCAGGAAGCTGTCAAACTTGCTTTCCTGGTGGAAGAGAGAGAATAGAGAGTAATTCATGACTACCTAATTAAAGAGTGTTTATTTTTCAAACAAAAAGGGACTAAAAAAGATTTGTAGCAAAACACTGATATGTTTCTGTTTAAGTTAGAGTGATTTTGGTTGGTTGTTACCATACAATACCATTTTAATAACATGTAATCGAGGTTTTCTTTGCTCAATGACAAGATTTGGATAATTCAGTCGTGTAGCTGCAGTGTGAAGCACAGAATAGCATGTTCCTTCTTCATGTGATACTGCCACAGCACACGCAGCTATAAATCTCAATGGATGACTTTCAGTCGATGTGCTGCTCGGCTCTTTAGAAGTGAATGGCGGTAGACAATTTCCACAACTGACCTTTCCTGCTTTTGTTTCTCTTTACAGAAGCTGTTCAGCCTGGGCGCGGGGGACCGGCAGCTCATCCAGACGCCTCTGAACGACACGCTGCCCGTCACAAGCAAAAGTGTTGCTCTCCTCTTCCAGCAGCTGGGTGGGTCCACGGCTCTTTAAAAAAACTGCTAAGTAGTGATCATGAGCAAGGCAGATTTATTCAGGCCATGACTTGTTTGTGAATCTTTAACTGTATCTCAGCCCTTGCTGCAGTTTGTCACGTCTACATAAAGTCCTACTTTGGTGTTCAGACATTTTGTGTTGTTATAATCTGACAGTTCTGACGCTCACAGAACATTATTCTTATTCATACTAGCAGCATCATCGTCTTAGTTGCTTTAATTAATCCTGTCTTAATCCGTTCTGGTTTATTGAGGCTTTGTTGTACTTTGCTAATCATGTGGTGATAAACACAAGCACTAAAGGACTTCTACCAACAGGGGAATTTCGCAATGAGCCTTTAAGAACTTGGATTAATTCTACACTAAATGTGTCTAAGGAACGATTATGTGGTTTTCTCTTTGCCCTGTAGAGTTTCTGTAGTTTTATCTGGGCTGGAAAGAGCGCATGATGAAGATTTGATTCAGTTTACTGGTTTCACGTTGCCTTGTTTGCCCAATATGTTTACAGTTAAGACTGTAAACCATTTGCTAAGGCCATACGTGCTTTGTCCAAGATTTAACATGCCTGATTGATCATGACTCATGGTGTCATTGTACCTATCACTTTCCTCAGACTTTCAAAATCACAGTTTGGCATAAATAATAATATGAGCTATTGTGCAAATTATATACTTTTAAATGGAATATAATTCACCTGAAATGTGATTTGTAATGGAAAGTTGGCCCTCATTTATCCTCATTTGATTAGAAGAATGTGATTCAAACCAGAATGGATTTTATTCCCTGAGTGTATTAACACCATCCTCTGTTTGTTTGGACAATGTGGTGAGCATGCACATGGGGGGTACTCGCACGATACACATGTGATCAGGGTTATGTGGAAGTCATAGACTTGTTGCCAAACTGGATACACAAAACAAAGCAAACTCGACACAAAACCCAGCCATGGGTCAGCCTGTCAGTACACATAAGACTTTAATTTTGTGCATTCTGTTTTAAGGATCTTTTATTATCATTCTTCTAAAAGGCATCACAACAGCAGGCAGTTTTGGCCTGGTCCATGTATGCTACAAGAAAAAAACATGACAATTCTTAACAAAACAAACGGCACAGAACAACAGTCTCTGATCCCCTATTATCTTATCTTGTTCTTCTGCAACCGGACGACAAAAGTGCTCAAAATGCGACAATATTGTTAAGCAATGCAGTGCAAAACAACATTAACAAGAAAACACAACTTACCCTTTTACTCATTTGTGTACACAATGGATTTTAACAACCAAAAAAATATATTACGTAGCTTCTTAATTAATATTCAAAAGATTTCTTTAACTTTATTTTTCCTTTTGACCGAGCCCTTTTTTAACAAGCCAAGCTACTGTATGCTTATCAACCCTTGGCTATAAGGCTTATATTAAGTTTACAATAATGACACTGGTATTATTCTTCTCATCTAAGTCTTGGCAAACGAAACTCTATACGCATACTGCAGAGGGTTGAATCAGGACCATAGACTTGAAATGGCTCAGTCTATCTTCTGATGGTGTGTAGTTCTCTGTCTGTTGTCAGTCCTCCTGCTGTTTGAGCAACATGTAGCAGATTGTAATATCTTGCTGTTGGCTTTGTCCTTCATCCCACTTTAATGAAATGTGCACATATTTGTTTAGCACTGTGTGGAAAAACAAATGTCAGCAGGTGTCTCTGATTGAGAGTCAGGCCATCATGGTGAAAGTGACCGACGGAGTTAATCATTTCTCCACCCTTAAAACATGTTCCTATACACGCTGACAGGAAGGTAAATAGCTACATGTTAGCGTAGACAACAAGTGCATCGTTTCCACTCATTAGGTCATCCTCATGACCAAATAAGGAAAGGCCAGTAGCTGTACAGGTCTGAAGATCACTGTGTGTGTGCACAGGTCAGCCAAATCACCAGACAGGAATGTGTGTTAAACATGTCGCACTGCACAGGAAGTACATCCCACCCCCGCGATAAAACCGGCCATCAACAGCTCTGTTGTTTGTTGTTTGTCGCCTTTGTCTCTTCTGTTGTCTGGGGATGTTGCTGTCACTTTTTATTTAGAGCTCGGAAGTGCGTTGCTGTTTCCATAAGATAAGTAAACACCTGAACCTGAGGTGTGATTGCAAAACAGTGAAAAGAGCGCTCTAATTTACAGAGCATTTTTACAGAATTTGAAGTTTCCATGTCTGTAAAAGATGAAAGAACTCATTTAGTTTGACAAGCCTGTTTACCCTGAAAACTGAGGTTTTGTTGAGGCTGGTGTTCGGTTTCCTGTTTATCACTGTGTGCTTCACGCAGGCAAACATCCAGACCCAGCGCCCCCAGTGGTGCGGATGTGTCTGCCAGGGTTCCTCTCTCTTTATCACTCCAATGTGTGATGAATTGCTCAGTTGCTTGATGGGAAACAATAACAGGAACTTGAAACTTAGAATTCTTCCTGATTGGAATTTGAAATATTATCTTTATACCTACCGTATGAGAGTGTAATTTCCTTTGTTTTCACAGATACGTTTCCTTTAGGTTTATAGTCGCTGTTTAACATAAACTGACTGTTTTAAAGTGGAAATGTCTTGTTTTTGTCATCATGAGCCAGGAGGTTTTAAGGGGACACATGGCAACTTAGGTCAAATCATTCTCATTCTAACTTTTTAGACCCCAGTGGTGATCAGTGGAAGAATACACTGTAATAGATTGAATTAATCTAAATCTTAAGAAAACTGAACAAATTTGAAGGAGCCAACATAATTTTGTTGGAATTTCTCAAAAATGCGTAAACTGTTTAGTATTCCTGAAGAAATGTTTTTGCCATGAACTGTGTAGAACAGAAAGGCAAGGCAGGCCTCACCTTTTACAAACAAAGATCACACTACAGAGGAATAATTTACAATGAAACTGAATGCAATACATTTATACATTAGTATTTATGCTCTCAAATAAAGGGTTATTTTCTGCCGCAATTTCGGAACAGACTTCATAAATCAATCCAAGTAGCACTGCAACCTTCTATATAAGAATTGTTTTATTCTGCATAGCATTGCAAAGAATTAAAAAAACATTTTCACAGAAGATTGTCTTTGAAGCTGGTTTGGATATGAACAGAACTCCCAAATGAACATTGTGTGATGTAACGTGTGTTTGAAGTTTGAAATCCTCCACGAATAGAAACAAATGTTTGATGGATGATCTGGAACAATGTGGCTGTCACATTCCAACAAATACCTCATCAGTTTTGTTCTGTGTTGTTTTTCGTTTCAGGAATCCAAAATGTTCTGAGCCTCTTTTGTGCCGTTCTGACAGAACACAAGATTCTGTTCCACTCCACCAGCTACCAGAGGCTCGGAGAGGCGTGTCGCGCCCTGGAAGCACTCATGTTCCCCCTCAAATACAGGTAAACGTGTGTTTGAGCCCCGAAGTTGGGAAGAAATTGTCATGTGATTTCTAACAAAAACTTGGCTGGTGTCATGCCTTCCATCATGGCATGATATTGGGTCAGTCTATGTTTTGGTCATTGGATTTTCTTTTCACAAATAGATATTCAAAAACAAAAAACGACTGGATATTTAATTTTCGTTTTAAAATTGAAAAACCAAAATTGAAGAAAAAAAACTACTTTTCATATTCTGCTACCGGAAGTTACCTTACAAAATAAGAGCGCAGACGAAACTCACGGAAGTGATTTCAAAAAGGTAGTTTTTTTTGTTTCTGTGTTCTAGTGATTTTATTTTTTGTTTTGAGAAGTAGAAAATGAAAATCTTCCAGTTTTTTAAGTTTAGTAAATCTTTTTTTGACCATGATAAAGAAAAACGCCTTGTAATTCAATTTTGGTTTTTCAATTTTAAAACGAAAATCAAATATCCAGTCGTTTTTCGTTTTTGAATATCCATTTGTGAAAAGAAAATCCAATGACCAAAACATACACTAACCATATTAGATTAATAGACTTTGTTGATCATTGTATTAATTTCTAGAAACGGATATACAGTATCTGTTGGATAAGATTAAGATTAACCTCAAAGGGTTTTTCCACCCAATTTTCAGTGTGCCTGAGCAGTGGTTAACTTCCTTCCCCTATTGAAACTGATTTGAGGAGAAGTAATTTTTCTCCCCTTTATGACTTTTTTTCTTCATACAAATTGCTTAATACATTTACATTAGCTTTGCTAAATGACTCGACTAGTGAGACATGACAAACAAGAAAGACAGGTGAATAAACGGTGTCAAACTGTAAGGTACACACGTTGAGACAATAGCCTGTTTCCAAAGCAGCCCTGTCATGTACAGTAGAAAGAGCACAGGCATGAGTTTGTGTTACATCATTTTGATAAGAAGCACATCCAAGAGTTTTTCTGACTTTTGTAGTGCAAGAGTTGTAGCAGTTCTCTTTACTAACAATCAGCATTTCTTTTATGCATTCACATCCTGTGAAAAGAGGAACTGCAGTAGTCATCATTATGCTGTAAAAGTATTGTGTAGTCATTCTTATTTTGTCCATGTTGCACAGTTGTATTTACGGGAAGATGATGATTATAACTTTCCAAAGCTTGTAAATGATATCATTGCAAAACGTATGAATGTCATGAGAATGCCGCGTGCCGTTCTTATCTTTATTGCTAATGTTTGTTTTCATCATTTTAGATATGACATTTCATAATAAAGTACATTTAGAAGTACCATTTTTGTTGCCCACTCATTTTCCCCCTTTCTTCCCCATCCGTCTTTCCAGTCTTATTTTTCATACATATTTATACTTGTGGTTATGTCTTCTTGTGTGTTTAGTTACCCGTACATCCCTATTCTGCCCTCGCGGCTGCTGGAGGTGTTGAGCTCGCCCACTCCCTTCATCATCGGAGTGCACTCCATGTTTCAGACTGAAATCCAGGATCTGGTGAGTGCAGATGAACTTGCGGATCATAAATTGTTGAATTCTGTCAAACACCTGTGAATCATTACCAAATATTGGAGCCTTTACAGTTATTTTATGTTCTAAAATTAAGGTTGCATTGTGATAGACTGGGACCTTCTACTAATCAGAGAGCCTCTTGGTTTCAGGACGTGTTAACACACAAACATTAAGTAATCTGCCCTTCAACAAGATGTTTATTTAACTGGTTTCGGCTGAACTTGGTCAGGCGCACGTGTCATGCCTCACAGTACTCCCTCCAGCTGCAAACTCAACACTTGACCTGTCTGTGTTTTATGTGTGTGCAACCAGTTGGATGTTATTATTGCTGACCTGGACGGAGGAACAATAAAGATTCCTGAATGCATCCACTTGTCCCCGCTCCCTGAACCTCTGCTACACCAAACACAGACTTCCCTCTCCCTGGTAAGCAACAACATGCACACACGCCCACAGTCATTCCACCATGTTATTCAAATAATCAAAGTATGATGACATTCATTTCATTTCAATCTTTATTTCGAACAGATAAAAAAAATAACATATAAAAAATAACAAATGTGAAAAACAGAATACCGTATTGTTAAAATACAGTATTTATCCACATTCATGATACAAAAACTCTTCATATTAATAATATTAATTAAAAAATCATATGTGTCCGAAAGGGAGTAGGAGGAAGCAAATGCTTATGAATTCCCACTCTTTACTGGATCAATGATTGTCCTTTATATCATTACGCAAGTTATTCCTACTTACATTTACATTTACACATACAATAATTTCTCCTCTCTTCATTCTCATAGTTTTCCAAAAAAGTGTCGTTTTAAACTGAATTATGCTTGTGCTTTGTTTTAACTCCTCTCCAAACCATTCCATAAAATCACCCCACAGATTGTTATACTCATACTTCTCAGAGTTGTTCTGACCTTGAGTTGTTTAAAATGTAGATTTCCTCTCAAATGACACCCACCCTCTCTGTCTATGAACAATGTTTTTAATTTCCTAGGAAGTAGATTATGTCTGGCTCTGTTCATGATTTGTGCCGTTTTAAATTTAACCAGATCAGTGAACTTCAATATGTGTGACTTCAAAAATAATACATTAGTGTGTTCAAGATATCCAACATTATTGATAACTCTCATAGCCCTTTTTTGTAATGTGCATAACGGCTGTAGGTTGGTTTTGTACGTGTTTCCCCAAATCTCCACACAGTAAATCAGATATGGCAATATTAGTGTGTTATATTATAGAGTATACAATAAGTTGTAGTCCAGAATGTGTCTGGCTTTCCCCAATATTGCGATAGTCTTTGCCAGTTTTGCTTTTACATTGGAAGTGAGCAAGCAAAAGTTAATTAATTCATGAAATAATTTAACTTTGAACAGTGCACAAATCTGAAAGTAATATAGGGTTCTTCATAATCAAACATGCTAGGCGACTGCTGGTAGAATGAAAATTCCTGCTTTCCTTTCTTAAGGAATTTAAATAGAAAACATTTTAGAAAAAAATATATGTGCCCCCTTTTTTCTGAATTAAATAGATTATTATCACAGGATTTTTCATGTGGGAAAAATCTGCTTTTGTTTTTCTGATACAAAATCCCTTCAAAATTCCTAATTTACTCAAGAGCTCGATTTTAATTGAAGCAAACATGTCCCTACTTTTTAGTTTTACACACTTTTCAGCAAAACCATTACTGTCTCCTGAGTCCATGTGGACTGCCTGAATTCATATCAGATGCATTATCATATTCTGTGTCCATGTAACATGCCCTGTCAGTTCAAATCATCCTGGAGAAATATGTCCAGCAGATTAGAATGGACTTTACAAAAAAGCTTTCCTAAATCACAAACAATTGAATCTGTATTAATAAAAGATACATGTAATTCTATCTTCAAATGTTAACCAAAACAAAACTGTATTAAATTAAAGATGCAGGACATCAAGCTCTCAAGTAAATAAGAGCTTATCATTGGATTTTACAGCATCTTTGTTCCTTCAGAAAAATAAAGCAGGATATTTTTATTTTTGAGAAAACGTTTCTCAGAACTCTTTAATTAATGATCTGGTTTTGACTTTCTTTATTATTAAATTATGTCACACCTTTTATTGTATGCTGTATAGTGAGGTCACTCATAGTAGACAAGGCATGTTCACTTAAGTTGTTGTTGCAATTATTTCAATTTGCTCCACATAAAAGTGTTTGTTGAATCACCTCGAGAAAATCATCTGGAAACGTATTTTTCTCCGTAGGTTTTGCACCCTGATCTGGAGATAGCAGACAATGCATTCCCTCCGCCTCGCACTGCCCCCTCCAACCTCAAGTTGTTGGTAAGTCAGCATCACTATCACATGCCCTCCTTTCATTTGTGACTCTCCGGGTGAAGGCAATAATGTCCTCCTTATGTGGGAGAAGGGCATGACTGCCTTTACCAACAAACAGGCTCTTATCACCTAAAGGGTAGCGTTGGAGTGACGGTTACCTTGTATACCCTCAAGACAAAACAACATAGCAGTTGCATAATTAACTTATCAGACTGCATTTGTGGCATAGTTGTTTGATGAGTCGTGTGTGTGTATTCCAGGACAAGGAGGTGCGAGCCGTGTTTCTCAGGCTGTTTGCACAACTCTTCCAGGGCTACAGGTCCTGCCTGCAGCTCATCCGCATCCATTCTGAACCCGTTATTCACTTTCACAAGGTAAGATAACGACATGATGGAATTCCCAGTGGTGAAATTAACATATTTCCAAAACCCTTTACTTTCCAATATGTGACCTTAGATTAAACCCTGTTTGGCAATTGCTCCAGAGCAAACATATTGTTCTTTTTTATCTGCCAAAAATGTTTAAACCCGGAGTCCAGAATTGCGTAGGAAGACTTGACGGATAAACCTGTCAGGGGCATACAGAGTGTGTGTTTGTGTGTGAGCATGCTTGTTGTTTTAGATGTGTTATTGAGGCCCCCATGAGTCTTCCTGGATGTGATCCTTTTGTTTATGCAATCTTCAGACACAGTCCCATTACCTTGGGCAAGGCACGACAAATAGCCATATGAAACGTATTAGGTTTACATTTTTGTTTTGTGCCGAGGTTTTTGTTTGTTCTTGTCTGTGGTGTCTCCGTGGTAACCCCTCTGCACATCATCCTCAAAGTACCCCACATGGATCACATTATAAACAAACGCTCAGCTTAGTCGCCTGGAGTGGGGGAAGGCTGGAGTGAACTGCGTTTTATCTCCTCTTCCCACAAGCACAAATAATTATGCGTAAAGTAAATTAAAATCATTTGTTTGTAACAAGATTTATATCCCTTTTTCTACATGCTTAAGAACTAACTCATGATTTGAACAATAAAAGATGCCAAAGTCAGGCCCCCCTGCAGAGATATTTTTAAACTTGTTCTAAAAATGACTGAGATCACTCAGCTTGTTTTTCAGTCTGCAGCATTTCCATATGCCCAGGATTACACTGCTCCCATCTGTGTGGGGTTGTAACTGATCTATTTCTGACATTCTCCAGACTGCCTTCCTGGGCCAGCGAGGCCTCATCGAGAATGATTTTCTGACCAAGGTTTTGGATGGCATGGCCTTCGCTGGCTTTGTCTCGGAGAGAGGTCCGCCTTACAGAGCCTGCGATCTCTTTGATGAGGTACAGTACCATGATGCTCCACTTAGCTTTTCAGTTGAGAAAATCATACACACACTAAAGCCACTACGGAAGAGTTTTAAATGTGACTACTCTATCAGTTGTGATTGTGTCCTCATTATGCTGCTTGGATACTTTTGAATGTATTTTCCCGATTATCCACCCCGTTAAAAGTGTATATTACTGTTTTTTTGTGTGTCTTGTAGCTGGTGGCCTTACACACTGACAGCTTTAAAGAAGAAGAGATCACCCCTGCCAAACTGCAGAAGCACATCAGGTCGTTCTCTGAGCAGCTATACAGAAATGTAAGACTTCATGCCAATAACTACATCTCCTCTTTTGTATTGTTGTTGTACCGTATTAGACTTAAGCAACTCTGCACGTGTTTTGCTGTATCCACTGTATGTACAGCTGTGAATCCTATTAATGCATGTTTTTCTCTGGTGGGTGTACTATAGGAAAACCCAAACCCCCACATGGCATTTCAGAAAGTGCCTCGGCCGTCGGAGGGGTCCCACCTGCGGGTGCACCAGGTACCCTTCCCCGTGTTGGATGACGAAAAGGTGGAGAAGATGCTGCAGGAGGCCGTGGTGAAACACAGCAGCGCACCTCCTTCTATACGGCTGGAGAAGAAGTGTGTTGTACCTGCCGGACCCCCTGTCGGTACGGCCCACTCTGAACTGCTGTGATAAACAATACTTACTGATCTGAGGAGGCTTAACATACACGCAGGGTTTTGTTTACTTTAAGTCTCTCGCAGTGTTTAACATAACAGGTTTTTGAAGCAATGTAAAAAATGGAGTCTGAGGTTTGCATCAGCGGTAGCTTCAATGAATTTCCTGTTCTTCTGTAAAATATAGTTTTTTTTAATTTTGTTTATTACGTCTGGTTCTAATAGGTTTGCATCACTTATGAAGTCATATTATTTTATGTTCTCTATACCAGCGGCTTTCAAAGTGTGAGGCGCACCTCCCCGGGGGAGGGGGCCAGAGAGGTTCAGGGGAGGCGCAGTGTGAGAAAAAAATAACGAGAAACAGTGAAATTTGTTGCAAGTGGCAACATGGATCGTTTTTATTGAGGAGACAGCGTCTGGCAGAAAACGGACTAAGTATAACCACGATTATTTGAAGCTAGGATTTTCATGGACCGGTCCTGGCAGGGGCGGACTGGCCATCTGTGTGTTCTGGAGAATCACAGAACGGCCGGTCGTCTGCGGGCCGTTGACGGCCGGCTCGGTTCGCTGACGGCCGGCACCGCCCTTTATTTTAATTTTAATAACACTTACTTTGACCAAAAGCAAGTACCGGTCAAGGCTGCAGCCAGAGGATGATCTGCTTTTATTCCTGTCTATATTGCATCCCCGCATCATCCGCTGTGCGCATCAAAGACGCAGACTCATTGTTCCCACTAAAGTAGGGGTGAGTGTAATAAGGAGGCAAAGTTGACTTTCAGTGTGTTGCCGGGAGCTATAAGGATTTATCCACGATGTTGAAAATGTTAAAAATGTTTTAAAAAGTTGTTGTTTAATGTTTTAAGGAGGTGACGCTACTCAGCCAATCAAATCGGTGCAGTCAGTGAGTCAGCACGATAGATTCAAACAAACACACAGAGACGAGACAAGAAGAGAGAAACAGTTGGAGTCATTTCAAATGGTGTGCTCAAAAAAGACTTACTGGACCTCTTTGAAATGCAATTGAATACCCCTGCATTATAGCAACAATAATAATAATAGCAATAATAATTGGGAGGGGGGCGCGGCTGTTCTTATGTTCTCTGCGGGGAGGCTCACCTTCCCACACTTTGAAAACCCCTGCTCTATACCACTGTAAACCTTTAGGAGTATTTGATGGAGGCTTTGAATGAGCCCAGTGGGTTTTTCTGCCTCTTCCTGCACTGTATATAAATTGTAATCTGTAATGTTTTTTTAATTGTTCAAATAAACCTAATCTGTTTTTCTGTATTCCAGTGTCCATTATGGGCAAGATGGGCTCTGTGTTTAACAGCGCTCGCAGGCTAGAGGTGGTGCGGGGCTGCATTTCCTTCATCTTCGAAAACCAGACCCTGGAGACTGAAAAGGTGATGCTTTATGTCTTTCATCAGGGGAGCTCATCAACCTTTAAACCAGCACATGATCTGGGGGCATCTCAGTGTTACTTCCCCCCCCAGCAGACCGTTATGGAGCTGTGGATCTCTCCACACCTTCATCATCCTCATATCTCACAGCTGCCACACACAGAAATAGATAAGGCCTGTAATCAAACACTCATGGAGGCAAATCAGTTAATGTCACTTGTTTATCGCCTCTTTAAGCATCTGCACTACACAAAGATGTCCTTCATTGTGGCCCCATGTACGTGATTCTACACAATATGCGTACGATGTGTTTAAAATGGGATCCTTGCAAGTTACTTCTTGTATCCCGCTGGCTTCATATCTGTATATAATTCAAACCTGCATCTCTGTGCAAAGAATGCATAGCATGTATCCTCTGAATCCCCCGTGAGTCTGTAAATCATTCGCTGCCAAATGGTCATCTACCATACAGCAGGTCAGAGCAGTTCCTTGAAACACTATCTTGGTGCATAGTGTTAATGTAAAAAGTGAATCGATAACCAAATCAAATTACCCCAGTGTTTTATCAAAGTTTCATAAAACAAGGGCCTGAAAATCTCAGGAAGCAAAGTTGTTTCCCATTCTTCACCCTCACTCACAAATTGCCCATTGTCTTCTTTCTGTCTCTCAGGTCAGGTCAGTGTTCTTATTTTGGATCTTTTGTATGCCAGTATCAGTAATGGCGATAGGCATGATCTTTTCAGGTCGTCTGAACATACGTAGGGTGGCATCCTACTCTCTAGAACTCAATATTTCAGGGAATTTTTTCAAATTCTACACAAATCTTCACTTGGACTTGATTGTCAATAATCATGGTCACTGCAACTTCACAAAAAGGTGTGGCCATTACTCAAGAATCTATATATCTATATCTATATATATATATATATATATATATATTTAGACTTAGACAGAGATGGATGTAAACTGCAGATGTGTTCCACAGCAGGGTGGTTATTCTGTTTTATTTTCTAAGACCTCCTTTGTTCCACCTTCACAGACGCTGCCGGCTGCTCTGCGCGCCCTGAAAAGCAAGGCAGCTCGTCTGTGTCTGACGGAGGAACTGAGTCTTCACGTTCAGCAGAATCGCGCCATATTGGACCACCAACAGTTTGATTACATCATTCGTATGATGAACTGTGCCCTCCAGGTGAGTCACACGACAGAAAGACACAGATCCTTTCCTCTGAATCAGTACTGTAAACTGAAACATGTACAAAACTCCATGCAGCTATGTGTATATCATTGTTAGTACTTTAGAGAGAGAGAAAAAAAAACGTTGATAATCAAACTTAAAATATATGTATCAAGCATGTTTTATATCAATTTAATTTGATAGCTTTGGGTTTTGGACTGTTTTTTAGGATGTCCCCTTAGACTCTAGAAAACGCTGATGTCTCTGACTTATGGCAGATTCAATTGATTAATATATTTTTTCATAAAAAATCGAACTATAAACCCATCCAATGCAAAACAAGCATGTAATTGCATCATACCTTAGCATCTGCAATTTCTAAGTAACCGTGTCCTTCCTGTCAAATGACACGGGTTTCGTAATGTTGATAAAAAAAATGAAAACCTGAATCTTCAAATCTTCTGATCCAAACAGGAATTTCACTAAATTGTTGCAGCCCAGTGTGCTTAACCCAACGGTCAATCTTATTTCTTATTGTGCGATTCTTATAAGCATAGCAATGTGTAAGCGTGACAGTAGTACACGTGAACATGTATTGGAAAAACCTGTCCATCCTCTTCAACTTCTTTATTTATTTAAACTATCTGGCAGCATGTGGTAAGACTCAGCTCCATATCAGTCAATATGTTTGTCTCTTGCTGGTGTCCTCATGCCTGAGCTACTTGTCAAAGTGAGTAAGTAATGTGTTTTGGTGCAGCTCATAAAAAGTCAGCGAGGCTTCACTCGACCAGCCAGCTCTTTATTGGTAGTTCCTCATGTTTTACTACCTTAAATCAGCCCTTTCTAAGGATTTAAATAATTTTAAGCGGTCCTCAAAGAGTGCAGCTTTTTATGGAGTGACTTTAGATTCCAATCATTCTCCTGAAAGAAAGAAAATAAAGCTAATTAATCCCACCGTATGCCAAGGACATTTGACGTGTCATTGACAAAATGAAGACAAGTGCCACTGTAAGGTCTACCTGGCAACGATGCTGGTTAGATTATTTCATGCAGGAAGACGTGAAAATAAGAGCTTATTGCCTTTTATGTTGCGAGATGACTGACTTTGTTTCCAGGAACATAAATGATGAGCTCTGCGCAGTCAGTGGTTTGTCTGTGATGTGCTTTTGTTGAAAGCCAAAAAGTGGCAAGATGTCTGCATAAAAGCACCATCTCCTTTGCATGACCTATTTATTCAACACTTGAATTATATTTGAAGTCTAAACTAATGCAAAGGTATTTTCTGTTTTGTTGTTGCATTGTTGTGCACACAGCTGATACCCAGGCCATCAGTGCGTCTTTCTGTCTTAAAATCTAATCCTGGTGGAATGTGTTTGAACCTTTTTTGAAACAGATTAGGGAGACTTTTTTTTTTAAATATTCAAAATTCTGTATAACAGGTCATTGTCATGCACATCTGGAAAAATGAAAGAAAAAAAGTGTGTGAGGGTTGTTTAAGTTTGACAATTGTTTTTTTGGTTTGATCAGAATATAAGTTCCTGATAACATAACATCTTAACTTTCATATTTCTACAACACAAAATGAGTCCCTTGATTTCCCCTGGCGTTCAGCTAAAAAGCAAATGATCCACAGCCACACACCGGGAAAATGATAATTGTACACATGGAGAAGAGATTTAAAGTGGAGTGCACTTTTGTGACAACTTGGGGTAAAATATAGTCAACCTTTTTCCAATTGCTTTTTTTCATTTGTATATTTTGTATTGGCTGTAATGCATTCAGTTACTTGAAGAAGGGGGCCTCAGTTGTGAGGGATCCCTCTCATATAAGTGAAAGTAATATACATACTAAATAGCTGGGCCAGTAATTACTTTCATATTCTGCGTGCTGCCCTTTCTTTCAACGCCCAGCCACTTAAGAACCCTGTGTGTGTGTGTGTGTGTGTGTGTGTGTGTGTGTGTGTGTGTGTGTGTGTGTGTGTGTGTGTGTGTGTGTGTGTGTGTGTGTGTGTGTGTGTGTGTGTGTGTGTGTGTGTGTGTGTGTGTGTGTGTGTCATCCTTAAGGCTTAAAGCCAAGGTGACCTACTCAGTAAAAAATGTTTCATGTGCTCTTTATAAGTGACAGCATGATGCATCATTAGGATTTATGGCGCCCATGTTGCTGTGCACATTGATTTTCAATGACATCATCATTATGAGGCCAATTACAGCATTTATCGTCTAACTGTCAACTTCAGGCTAAGTGACAGTTCGGTTGTCTGGTTGTAATCAGTGTTCGCAGGGGAGCCTGCAGGAAGGGCTATGTAATGCAGAAATGTGCAATAGGTGAAAGGTTAGCACATTAGAATCAGGTGGTACTGTACACTGTTAGTGCGTGCTCATTCTTTCTTGTTTTTTGAGTTAAAAATGTTGATACATTCTTTGAAATGATTTGGAACATTGTTTGAAATTATTTGGAACGTTTACAGTGTCATTTTTTTTAAACATCTGTTGTAATCCTTATCTGTTTTGTTTTCTGCCCTGAATCACACACAGTAACGACCCTCATAAAGGTATTTGTGTTAATTGCGCATTTATTTTGTGTGAGTGTATATGTGCAGTGGTTAGCACTGCAGCTTTTAGAAGTAAAAGTAGCGCAAGCCATGTGGGGGAATGAGCCCTGCTGTGGATGTATCCTGGCATCCCAACCATTTCCTGTCCGATTATGAGCCCTCTGTGCTCTGCTCTCTCATTGCCGAGGGCCTCATGATGGTGCTCAAAAACACTCTGAATGGCAGTTTACTGTGAGAGGGGATTAAGGCAGGGGGTCCATGGGAAGCGGCCGCAGCGGCATGGAGTCCATGAGTTCCGCATGAGCTTGATGTGCAGAAACACACGTTACACACAGATGTTGGAGAGTACGAGGCTCTTTATCTGACATGTCTGAATCATACAACTCCTGAGTCTGTTCTCTGTCCCTCTTAAAGGCTGCCTGCTGCACTTTAATCAGTCTAAACATCTCCTGCTTAAGCTAAACAATCAATCTAAACGTTATTAAACACTTGGTGACCAGATAAAATACATTTTATAGAATGCATTACAGTACGTAAAAACGGCCAATAAAAACTTGTGGTTTTAGAAGGAAAATAAATCAGTTTCACATAAAGAGATATCCATACCAATGTCTCCACAGCTGGAGAACCTCATGGTTTGATAAGCGCGAGATGCATTTTAGGAGTCATTAAGCCCGCCATAAATGCATACATGAGATTCCTTAGGACAGTTTGCAGTAGTGACTCCTGCAGCCACAAATATTTCACTTGCACTACAGAATCAAGGTCTCTTCATCATTATACTGCAACTACACGGAGTCTCTGTACATGAGTTTTCTACATTTTTAGATTTTTCTAGATCATAAATTAGTTTCTTACTGTGAGAACATGGCCTCTGTCTGCCTTTGATGGACTGCCTTACATAACGTGGCCACTGGGAATCTTAGCTGGGTATCATTCCCATGTTCAGTTTCTCTAGGAAGTCCAGCAGTTTGAGCAGGTAAACAGCACAGAAATCAACTATGAGGCTTATTTGTGATTCAAGCCGTGATTGACATTAATAGAGTTGAGACTTTTTTTGTTTTGTCTCTAGATAAACAAATATCCATAAGGGCCACAAGTGGCAGTTCATTCCCTCCTGGAAAGCGTTAACACAAACACAGAGGATGCTGCTGTTTGTTCACATCCTCCAGTGTTTCTGTCACATGCTCATGTTTTTTGTTTTTGCCCGCTGTATACGTGTCTGAAACAGAATAGCAGTGTGAGTCATCACAGCTATGGTAGCTCCTACCGCTTCAAGAACAAGGGAGAATTGGTAAGACTTACTGTAAATAATAGGAGGAAAGGAAAACAGCAGGGTATCATTTCAAAACAAATGTGGGGATACACGACACCCTCCTTTACCCAATTCTTGAAATCCAAAATAAAGAATTTTCCCTGACTCTGCTCCATGTGGCTTTGTTCAGCTTACAATGATAGAGGCCTAAATACAATAATACAGACCCTTAAAGCGTCTCATGTGATGCTGATGGACAAGAAACAGCTCAGCTCGACTCATCAGGTCTCACTTGTCATGTCTAATCCCAGGCCTGCTGCAGATTTCACTGCTTATCGGTTCCCTTTGTGAGTTGACGTGCATGCTTTTGTAGCTGTCACTCAGCCTATCAGTCTGCTAACAGGAGATTAAGTGTTTACAGGTGATATCAAGTGTGGCTTAAGTAAACCTGACACTATATGAGATATGAAGCGATGATGCAGCCGAGGGACAAAGCTTCTCTTCACCCGACGCATGAAAAAATGCATTTCGTTATGAGTTTTTGTTTCAAAGAACCAATGGTTATGCTTCGCTGAGTGTTGGAATAATACCGGTTTGTCAATTATTCACTCTTTTCTGCCAGTGCTTTTTCACTTGTTGTTGTATTTTGACTGGGGTCCATGAACTCCTCTGACCCGCTGGATTGTTAGGGATGCTTCTAAACAATGCTTTGGTGCAGCTCCAAGCTTGGACGTTTCACCACAGCCCAAATAACTGCAAGGAGAAACACAAGTGACAAGAGAAATAAAACTGAAACTATGTTGCTTATTCAATGGGGGGCCAGGCTTTCATGTGTTGCTGTGGAACTTGTGTTTTGCATTTTCTCCCCTCTTCACATTCTTGTGTTGAGGCCCCCATCTCGAACCACTATAAAAAAAATGTACGTCTTTTCTCCCATCTCTCCCGCCAAAACTACTCTGATAAGACTGTTAAAGTTCCATAGTTTCAGTCTTAAATGTAAGACCTCTGTTCAGGTGTTTCGGTTTTCACAGAGAGAAGTGTGTTGTTTACACATTTTCTGGGTTTGAGGTCCCACTGAGGGTTTTGGCAGAATCAGTGTCCATGTTTTTACTTGGTCTTAAATCGAGTTTCCCCGAGCCATTCTCATTTACAGAGTCCCGCAAATAAATCCCAACAAAGCCCACATGAGACAAGTACCAATTTCCTGTGAATCAAGTACTTTTACTCCAAATTGCGTCCTTTTCTTCTATTCTCCTGTTCTCATCATTCTTGGTGATCTCTGCAAGAAGAGTTTTGTTTGGGCCCCTAAGTCCCCCACTTTAAGCCTCCTAATGTACTATTCACCTTAATATCATCCTCTAGAAAGCGCCATTATGCGTCGCCTCTTTGACCTGGAACAATCCCATGGTGAGTAAATGTTAAAGCGGGAATATTTAGATTCAATATAAAAAGAGAATTAAAGGCTAGTTGTGGCTTATGATAAGTGGCAGCATGAGCATGTTATGGCCAAAAAGACTGGAACTTTTTGCGTTGCTCTGCTATTCTCTTGCAATTTATAATAATAGCTAATACATTGGAGGCCGGAGTGCTCTGATGTTTATGTCAAGGCAGGGATTATATAAGAGTATTGAAAGCACATGTCCTAATATTGAAGCAGAGCAGAGTCTGTGGTTGTTTCTTTTTTTGCTTCTCCTGACATTTTGCAGGACAGCAGTGTCTTTATGTAACAGGAAGCTACATCTGAAGATTGACTCTTTGGTTGTCTCCAGGTCACATCTCTGCATTGCAAGTTCATCAGTCATGCAATAAAGTTATTTCTTATTGTTTGTTAAAAACTAGATACAGTATTGCAGTAAAAAGATGTTACCCTTTGGCCTTTTGGAATGTGTGACCTCTCTGTTGAACGCCTGTGCTGCTTGTTTTGGGGCTCCTGTGAAAAAGAGCTGTGTAACATGTCTCCTGCTGTGTCTGCACGGGGCTCACTTCTCTCCTGTTGTTTGGCCCTCAGGACTGCTCCAGCTCAGAGGAATACACCGTGGCTTCTGCACTGCTGCCCCTGTCCACAGCCTTTTACAGGGTAAGGAAATCAATGAAAACAACACTGTATGTGAGCTCAAAATTATGCTTCTGTTTCTCATATTTTCATTTGTATATAAACCACCGCTTAATCAGGTGTACAATGCAAATGTAAGATCTACCTGAACACCTGTGGTTATAGGTAAGCAGTTTGAGCTGCTAAATCTAATGTCACACTGAGGTAACTCGCTCAACTAGGACTTTATGGACCTAAATTGAAACAGCTACCTCCATAATCATCTTTTAAAACATTGTATCCAGCTTAAATTTTGCCTGAAATACAGCAAGAAATACTGCTAAAAATGTCCAAATATATGTATATAGAAATAGTTGTGTGTGTGCTGGTTGATCTAAAGAAATGAATATTTGCCAACATATTGTTGGCAGATTTGTGTAACTCTCATATCAATAGTGCTTATCGGCCTAAAGTCCAGCTATATTGCTGCTCCAATAAAAAGGCACTACAGGCAGGGCATAACATTCTCAGTGAGGTACTCAAATGAGTGCCTGGAGTCAGTGTTTGGTACTCCAACTTCTGGCTCCACTCAAAGTTAGTTGATGAAGCCCTCTGTATCGCAAACGTCAACGGGGGCGGGGTTGCTAGTGGAGTACTTCAGGAAAGTCGACGGGGGGGGCTAGTGGAGTACTTCAGGAAAGTCGACGGGGGGGGCTAGTGGAGTACTTCGTGACCACAGAGCATGAACGTTGTGATCAGCTGTTTTAGCGCAGTTCTCCATTGAAGGGGGGAAGGGGGGGAGTCTCCCTCCGCAGCCGGTTGGCGTAGTTTTGGCACAATTCCGTTGTACAGACCGACGTTAACAGCAGCCCTGTCTGTGCACATGGAGACCGACTCTGTCGTCCGGGGATCTAACCGCCTTCTGGAAAAGCTTCACAGGTAGGCCTACGTCGGTGCGCAAATGCGCTTTGTGACACAAGTGACGGTACGCATTTCAGATTGTTGCCGCGCATGCGTACCTGCGTACCAGTTATGTGCACCCCTGACTATAGGGCAGGTTGTATGCACAGAATAGCCATAAAAAGGACAACATTATCAACCTTTTAACTTCAGTTGATCCCTCAGTAATCACATCCACAGAACATGTGGTAAACCTCCATAGTTAGAGCGCGGGCCATGGCCTTAAGTTTCCTCACCACATTGTCAACACATGGTAGCTACATTATTCACCACAACAATTCAACAACAGCCTGGTTGTTGCTATGGGGACAGACACAACTGTCCACACTGGCTTCTTGTTGAGTACCAGTGCCATACCCTAATGGGCTGCAATGGGACCTGGCCCGCTGTTCACCACCACATGACTCATCCTGTTAACATGGCACAGGCTCAGAACCTCAGATAAGCCCTGTTTTCTTGTTTGTCTTCAGGGCCACCAGTATTAATATTCATCAATCTTGTGAAGTTCTGTAGTTTAGTGCATTTCTGTTCAACCATGCAACAAGAATATACCACTAAAGAGAAACCTATGATTTATATCCATCCATTGTCCGTCACAATTCTGAAGTAATGTAGTGATATCCAGCTAAATGAGTTTGAAGATTATAAATGATTTCATTGTCTAACACTGGCAACTCATTATAGGAAAGAATATTTTGAGAAAACACCCAATTTATTTACAGATTATTGGAACTGCTGACATGCTCCAGCTCTGCCTCAGCCAAAGGGAGACAAAGTAAAGTGAGGTCAGGAGGGAATCTGCCAAAATCATTCTGTAATTTCTCTTTTAGTGGCGCAAGAAACATGCAGTGAAATAGTTAGAAAAACAAAGCTCGCTGATGGAGCGTCCCAGCAGCTGTCATCATGGGGATCGAGAGGCATTACAAAAGAGAGCCTTACAAGTTTGATGGAAGGGGTTGCCTTGGTTTTTGCAAAGAACAAAATGTACCATGACACTGAAGCATACATGCCCATCTCATCTTTCAGAGGCCCCTCTGCAGCCGTCCATCTCTATAGGAACATGAAACCCATAGAACGACCTTTGCTCGCATGGTCGCTCAAACTATGCTTTTCACATTACAGTAGCTATTTATTCTAACAGTTGTGAATACTTTATGCAGTTAATGACCAACATGTCCTTGAATCTGACCTGAAAAGGAAAGTCATTGACAAACAATGTGAGAGTGATTAAAGATGGGTGCTTTTATCTTGTAGCTGTTTTTAAATTACCTCTGCAGAACTTGGTAGGATGTTGTTGAACATGCTGCTGAGAGGTCAGTTCTTCTCTCACTGTTTTAAACCTTATTGTGAACGGAACATAAACTTAAAATGGTTTGTATAATAAAAGCTGAGAGCCCTATACTCTAAAGTGGAGTTGATGGTACTGGGATGCCGTTGTTAAACTTTTCCAAGTTTGATTTGTGACGAGGTATTCACCTTTTGATTTCCTGCACTTTGTCATGTTGTACAGAACTTTTTAAATAACTCAAATTCTGAATAAATTAGTTTTTAGTTGAGATGAGTCAGAGATGGTAATGTTCATGCATGTACACTGTGAACACAGTAGTACATTTTTATTCTCATAAGATATACAGTACATTGTTTATTTCTACTGCTATTGCATGAAAAACATTTGCCACTGGGATGATGTACAGAGGGTGGATCATTATTGTGAAATAAACGGGGGTGATGCAGGACTTGAATTAGTCAAGCTCATTTAGCAATTTGCGAGGAAGACCATGGTGCTCGAAACGTCAGGAGCTATTTTATGTTTGGATATATCTGCTTCAACTCTGATATGTAAACAAAAATAACAGACTGTAGAATGCCCTAATTGAATAATCGGAATCTAGTGTTCAACAAATCGCGTATCTGTGACTGTTTGAGTTGAGTAGTCCGACAATGGTGAAGTTCTTGTTTGGTTTTCTTGGCCAGGCTTTAGTCGGCTCACTCTGTGATCAGCTAACAGTGTAACCGTCCCAATGGCCCCTAAAGTCTCCAGGTCAGGAAACGTGGAAAGCTCAGCTCGCTCCACAACGGTCTGCTCCCGGATTCTGCCGGATGGAGTCAGGCGGTGTTTAGTTTTATTCTTGGTCATGTGTTGACACTGAACAGTTTATGCAAGTGAGCTTCAATCTACAGTATGTTTAAGTTGTTTTACCTCTCCATGTCTTTGCTTACCCCTCAGCTTGACCTTTCTTGGATATTTATATCAAACTTATCCAGCAGTATTGATAGACATATGCACATATATCAGATAAAAGGAAGATATGCAAAATATATTTTGGCCTGGATCATGTGTGGATGGTGTCATTTGGCCCGTGAAGGTGAAGTTTATTCAAATGCCACACAACCTTTGCACAGTGGCCCTTTGTTAGAGTTTGGGTTGTACATTTTGTTGTGGTTCTAATCTGTGTGGAAAGTTCCTCTGGCATTCATTATCTATAGTGCTGGGGTGGTTTGTCAGGAGATGAACAGGTGTCGTTGACGTCCTTTGGATTGCGTCTCTGGAGTAAATACCTCTGTTCGGGGAAAACACAGATTGGATACAGCAGCAAGAAAAAAACCCAAACACCATTCTGGAAGACTTCCACATCAGCGAGAGCACTTGACTGTTAGCATTCTTTAAAGCCAAAGTTTATTCATAGGGGGGATTTGGCAGCCTGCTCTCTGAAAACGCTCTCCACGAAAGTGACATCCTGCCTGACCCTTGTATATCTCAGAAATGTCCAGCCCTTTACTTACCGTATCTATGTTTACTTTGTTTTGGAACATTTATGTTACTTGTACATGGTGTTTTTACACAGTTTTGGCCTATGGGTGCCATGATGGGTTTGTATTAGTCTGATTTTCAACATGCCTTTTTCTCTGTTTGTTTTACGTGACTGGAGACTGTAAATACATTGTTTGAACAGAAAGTGTTTCATGGTTCCAGGATGCGAAGACTTTCCTCGCAACACACTGACTCACGTAGAATTGCAATAATGAGGATAGATTTTGTTCAGGTGAAGAATGCATTACCGCAGATGAACTGTTTTTGTATCTGCAGTTCAGGAATGCTATGAATTCTTACAAAACACTTGTAAATGATGTTGCTGCCCCCAGGCTGGTGACATATCATAAACAGTGGTCAACACTAAGTGTCTACAAAGAAGTTTACACACCTTTCATTGACAACCTGTCTCGTTTCTCAGTCACAGTTGACATGTGGGATGCTGCTTAGATGTCGTAGTCAGTCATATTGTGAACCTTGGGATCATGTCCTAGAGTTCTAAACAAGATCCCAAATCCTGATAACCTCAATCATTTGACCTGTGCACAGCATTGTTTCCCTTCTGTCTTCCCCTTGTGTTTTCTTTGCTTGTTTTTCACCCTCAACCCTGCATTCCTCTTCACGAGTCACACGGGCAGATGGGTCTGATAGTGCTATACTCCCTCCTTCCCCTTTGTCTACACTTCCTACTTTTCTTTTTCGTCCTCCCTTTCCTCTCCATTCTCCTCTCATTCCCTGTCCTCCTCCTTGCCCATTCATCTTGTAGATGTCTCTTTAAGCTCCCTGTATTATCATATTCACAGAAGTGATGACCTCGGTCAAGATGACCTGCACATATCTGACAAGTCGAAAAAGGACAGCCATGCTGAGAATGGACAGCGTAGTCAAATCACGTAGAGACAAACACACCCACCCACCCAAACAACATCTGCTGCAAGACACGTCCCACGCGCCTGTGATAGAAAGGTGTTACCATGTAAATACCAAAAGGGCTTGACTCCTCCTATTGTATTTTTCCCCATTTATTTATGGTTTTGTGTAATGCAGCTCCATCCCTAAAATCTGACTCCTTTGCAATCAGCCTGGTGACCATGTGCTCAAAGGACCAGTGTCACACATTTTAGCCTCTTGCCAAAGTGTTTTTGGCAGCAGATTTGGCATTTCATCCAAAGTTTTCCTGGCCTAATTCCCATACTCAATGTAAGGTGGTATGCACACATTCTCCGACGGCAAAGTACATTTGATCATCTCTATTTCTGCAGAGACAACAGTCCATCTAAACTCAAAATTGCTTTTAATGTCAGCCTTACTTTTCTACATAATCTATTACAAAGCTGAACAAAATGTCTAAAAACGCCCTTAATCTTCATGATTCTCAACCAATTATATTGGCGTTGTTTATATTTGATTTGTCGACGTTTAAGTGTAAAAGCCTTTGTTGGCTTTGTGACTAATTTAAAAACCAGTGGTTACCTTTTATTTTCTGCATGTATGCCTTCAAGTCCCTCAGACTTGTGTCCAACATTCCCTTCCTAAATTGAGACCTATTGTATCCATTTCATGTTGGCATCCTTCATTAGCCAACATGATATAGTTATCTTAAAAACCTTTTAAAGTCTGCTGATCTGAGCAGTAAAAAGTTCCCCGAAATATCTAATATTAGAGAGAGGAGCAACAAGAGCCTGCTTTAACATTTGTGTAAGAACAAGTGAGAGCATGTATTCAAGATGTCTTTTTACTTGCATTACACACATCTTTATGAATTCATTCAGTTGTAAATGTAAATAAAATAAATCTGAATCATTATAAAGCACACTGAAAACACTGTTAACTGTGGATGGGCATGAGCTCTGTGTTCACCGCCAGCTCTCCTCTGTGTTGGCTCCTGGCCCACCACACTGGGAATAGAGCTGTTCTTGTTCTGTCCGTTGTAATTACAGTAACCCCTCTAGTTCTCATCCTTCAAAGGCAAACTGTGAAGTGATAATGGGAACCAGTGTGCATGTGTCAGGCTCAGGGGAGAGAAATCAGAAGCTAATTAAATAACAGGCCTGAGCCTTACGCGTGGCCTGCAGTCTCTACTGGGAGATGGACGCTTGGCGAATGCTGGGATCTGTCCTGTCTTCTCTTGAGTTTATTTGCAGTGTAATGTTGTTTCTCTGCGGTGTGTACCATGTGTGCTATCGAGTACAGTATGGGCCAGCGTTAATGCCTTTAGCTGAACACTGTACATTCCCTTTAGTAGCTGTTTTTGCAAGCAGCAGGTGCTTTGCTCTTCAGCCCTCACTAATGAAAAACAACGCAACGCTTCCAAATATATCCAGACACAGAAGGAGTGAGGGGGGGGTCTAATTTCCTTTAGGGTTGTTGTCTGTTAAAAAGTTACAACTCACAAGGAATGATTGATTTCACTTTAAATCCCATGGATGACTTTTTTTTTGTGGTGTTTTTCCACTTCTCCCCAGCATTTTGGCAAACCCCCTTTACAAGGGGCACTTTCTGCAGCCCAAATTCTTTCTTGATGCAAATACCCATCGAGAAATAAACTTGACTGCCTCCATGTAGAGGGCTGCATTGCAATGATTAGGATTCTGGGAGCAACGCAGGACTAAACACAAATACTGCAAGGTATATTTATTCAAGGCAGCAGCAGTAAAAGTAAATTGAATATACAAATATAAGAGTCTATTATAAAAGCCTATACAAGAGATTGTTATTAAAGTACCGTATTACTTAACTGTTTTAGCAGCTTTAGGTTCACATTAAGCCAAAACAACTTTCCAGTAAAGCTGGATAATTTTGTGAAAAATAAACCAAATACTCTTTTTTAAGGTGTTACATTTTAGTTTCAAGACTGTTTTGAGTTTCATTTTATACACATTTACACACAATTCTGCATGACATATTTTGTTTTTTTAGGAAACTTTGGATAGGATATAAGATTTTTTGTGGTTTTCCACAGAGTTTGGCTGAGTTCCATGTGTTTGCACTGACCGGGGTTAACAAGGTTTTGCATGTGAAGTTATAATTCAGATCATCTGTCTCTCTATTTAGAATTCTCGTTTATTCAATACATAAACGTCATTTTTAACATCCGTATCATGAAAAATAAATTCCGTTCGAATCTGAATCTAAACTGTAGACAATAACATTGTCAATGCGTGACAATGCGACATCTGGTTTGTATCTGTTGCTAGGTGATATTACATAAACTATCAGAGAAACAGGGATGAGTTCAGCTTGTATAACACTGCATGTTGTCGTTTCTTTGAAGGCATTTAATGCGCTCATCTCATTTCAGTTATATTCCCTAATGTTGACTCATAAAACAGTTCACTCAAAGGCATAGTCAGCTGTTAAATGTACTTCTTTACGTCGTCCTGACTCTATGAATTATATTTTTTCTTGCAGAAATTGGTTGCCGGTGTGAACCAGTTTGCCTACACCTGCATCCAAGACCATCCAATCTGGACCAACCAGCAGTTCTGGGAAGCCACTTTCTACAGCGAGGTCCAGAGTCAGATCAGAACCCTTTACCTGAACACCCTGGAGGGGAAAGACAGCATCACTGCCAGGCTAAAGGTTAGACTGGAAAAGTGACCAATACAAGTTGTGGGATAAATCATATGAATTCCACTGACATAAAGAGCATATTGATTATTCAAGCAAAATGCCTGCTTCTTAATTGCTACTGTTTTCTTGCCTACTGTGATCACTAGGACTTGTATTGGTTTTTCTTTGTGTCAATAGTGTTCTTTATTTAGAAAATAGAGAGAAAAAAGTTTTAAAAAAAAACACATACTTGAGAAATGGTCCTCTGACACACTCAGCAGGCACCATTGCGTTTCAAGGGGTCAAGTTTAAATGAGTTAAGATAAGATAAAGATAAGAGGTACTTTATTGATCCCAATTTGGGAAATGTTTGCATTGCAGCAGCATAAAAAACAACATAACAAAACAAGGCATTGCACATAAGTAGAATTAAAGAGTAGAAATAAACAAAACTAGATTTTAAACATCTCAAAATAGAATTAAAGCAGCATTAAAAAGTCGAAAATATACAGTAGGCCGTGAAGATAAAACATCTATAAACTCGGACAATAAAACACCATTGAAGGGCTTTAGACAATATAAAGCAGGATATTATTTACATTAAGAGTGTAGGGAATGGAGTAGTAGTAGTATGTATGGAGCAGAGAGCTCTCTTCCAGTTCTGTCAAACTCAAACCGTTTCCTGTGACCTCTCCAGGATGCGGGCTCCGAGGCTGCGGCGGGCCGAGAGGAGGAGCACACGGCCATGGACCTGGCCGCGGAGCAGCTGCGTTTGTGGCCCAGCCTGAGCAAGGAGAAGCAGCACGAGCTGGTGAAGAACGAGGAGAGCACTGTGTTCAGCCAGGCCATCCACTACGCCAGCCTCATGGTGTACCTGCTGGTTCCTCTGGACACTAGCAAGCTCAAGCTGCTCCGCAACCCCCCCGTCGCAGACTGGGAGAGCGGCAGCAACAGCATCGTCACAAACAGGTCAGGCTGATATCTAAGAAGAGAAATAATTTAAAGGTCACCTATTATGCAAAATCCACTTTTTCATGTCTTTTATACATAAAATGTGTCCCCTCTGTGTAAAGAGATTCTGAAAGTTTCAGGAAAATAGTTTGGCTTGTGTAACCATTAGCAAATAACCAACCAAGGTAACCCCCCCCCCCACCACCACCTTATCGCCTGAATCTCCTCCTAGAGCACCATTGTGTTCTTTTTAACCAAATATCTCTCAGAGGGACGTGGGGAGTGGGTCCTTATTTTCATGTAAAGCAGGGGTGTCAAACTCAAATGCACAGTGGGCCAAAATACAAAAATCGGTACTCGTCGGAGAGGGGTCTGCCTGCAGGCCTGCACTCTCAGGACAGTTCCGGTGTAGGCTGCACTCTCAGGACACCTGCACTGTCAGTACAGGAAGTGACGATTCTGACGAACACGTTTTTTCCCCGCCCCCCGAAAGACTCGTTTGATGGAAGTTTTCAAATCACAATGGAGACTCATCACGGAGGTGATGAGTCCGCCCACCGTGCACTTTGGGTCGGCCTTGGTTAAGCCCTTTTGACCCACCCAGCCTGGTTCTCGTAAAAGTTGACTTAGCCATTTTTCGCTCAAATGACACCATGGAGGAATGTAACGGGAGTTGACAGGGGACTCTGCCCGCCTCACTTTTTTTCACTTTTCCCCGGTTTTATTATTATTATTTTTTTTGGCTATTTCACCCGGTTTCTACCGGGGACACTGCCCTGTCTCGGGTGTCCCCCCACGGCCTGTGTCCAGCCCCCCCCACTCATCCATATATTAATGGATTTTGACAATTTTTGTTGCATTTTTCTCCTCTCCTCTCACTGATCGAATGGCAAACGCGACCCACTGTCGGAGGGCCTCCGCATTAAAAGTGTAGGGAGGGGAGTAGTAGTAGTAGTATGTATGGAGCACAGAGTTCTCTTCCAGTTCTGTCAAACTCAAACCGTTTCCTGTGACCTCTCCGCGCCGGTGCTCTGGCGGTCGGTTCCTCCGAACTGCGGGTTCGACTCTGATGGCCGGGAGGGTGTGCTGCGTTGGGGTGGGGGACTTCCCCCACTCAGCGTGCCTCTTCCTTCCCGGGCCGGCCGATATGAAGCGTGACCAAGACACACCGTCTGACTCAGGGGTCCCACGGGTCCGGCAGCGGGGTGGAGGTTCCCAGCTGGAACCTCCCCACCTCCGCCGCGGTGCACTCGGCAAACACGGTTGTTTCTCGAACCCTCCACTGTTGTCTAGCGGGTGTCTCAGAGTGCAGGTGTCCTGAGACTGCTGCCTGCAGGCAGGCTCCCATGACTCGTCGAGGGCCGGACTGGTTCAATGTTTATTGTAAAACGTATTGAAATGAACTTATTGCACATATTAAACCTGGAACTAACAAAGCAAATTATTGACTATAAAAACAACATTAAATAATCAGTTGCATTCATTTCTTATGGCTCTATCTGCAGCTTTTCCGGAGTTATTTCTTATGATTACATTTTTCCACAGGCCAACAACAGCTTTAAAAAAAAAAATATGCCCTGTTGTCGCAAGAAAAAAAGTGCAGAAGGAAACATCCATTGAAACTCAGTTTGCTGCTCTGTGTGTCTGTGTACTTGGCATCTCCTCTTGGGTGCAAGTTCAACAACGTTTGGGCTCAGGCTCTGAGCTGAGGAAACCCTCAGGATTGAGTGAAGGTGTGCGTGCAATATACCGGCTTGGAAGAGACTCCAAGTTAAGGTTTTATGATTTGGGAGTATTTGTTCCTCTCTTATTAAGCTGATGATAGGTATGTGGGCGTTTGTGGCGTTGCTCACAGTCTACACGATACCTTCTCATTCAGCCAAATTGAACACAGTACCTCTCCTGTTTCCGGCCCACTTTCCATCCTGTGGGCTTACATCACTGCTGCATAAAACAGAGTGAGGATCATTTACTTTAGAGAAGTTCAAAACCCTTAGGGTGTCTTTAATGGGAGCTACACTGTACTCACCCAAACCAAACAAAATAGAAGTGGAAGTGATTTCCCGGGCTCTTCAGTGACTGTGGAGTGAAATAAATCCTGGAAGTTCTCCTATTTACGTCCTTTCTTGGAATTTAAAGACATACAGCCAAAGATAATTTGTTCAGAATTTCATCCATTGGAACTGAATATTCAAAAGAACACGATGTTAATGTACATTTTTTTTAGTTTTGAACAGCATTTATGCTTTATTAAACTTCTTTTTTAAATGTCCTGCAAGAACACAATTGTACTGTTTACTTGTGTTATGTTTCTTCACTGTTGAGAAGGCAGAAACATTGCAGCCAAGAAGTTGTTTGTGTGGACATTTTTGTCTCTTTTTTTTCCTTGCATTTTTGCCCAAGACTTGCTTTTTTTTAACAGATGACAGTTGGATCTCACCACTAACTATGAATCCAGAGAATAGCTTGCATCACTGTCTCATGTGAGACATTCTTCTGGACCGCAGAGTCCGAGCCATTGATCAGGGCATCAACACTAAACTGCTGCAGATCACTTTCGCTCATACTGCTCTTTATCACAGTGCAAATTCATTTCTGTCAACAGAAACTCTCTTCTCAAATCTCCTCCTGGGACATGCTGGTTAACTCTTTCTCATCATCATTGTGTCATCATGTGTGTTTTACAGCATTGCCGGAAGCGTGGCAGAGAGCTTTGACACAGAAAGCGGGTTTGAGGACTCAGAAAACAGCGATGTGGCTAACTCTGTGGTCAGGTTCGTCGCCCGCTTCATCGACAAGGTGTGCACCGAGAGCGGAGTAACCCAGGAACACATCAAGAGCCTGCACAGCATGATCCCAGGTACAGTACTCACAGCGTTCATTCAAACTGTGCCACTGTCCTGATTCCCTCACCTTTACGAGGAATAACCCCTTCACGTGAGTGTATTCACAGCAACAGACGTCTGAGCTAATTAACCCCTGACATTGCAAATCTCTGAATACACAGTCTGGTTGTAAGATCGTGTAGACATACATGTGTTTCTCTGGTCCGTGTGTGCACTTGTGTATGAACATGTGGTTGGTGACGTCCACTTGTGAACCCACAGGCATCGTTGCTATGCAGATGGAGGCTCTGGATGCAGTTCACAGAGAGAGCAGGAGATTACCTCCCATTCAGAAGGTGAGTGTCGCTCTTTTCTTGGCTGCTAGGACTTTAGAAACACGTCACACTCTGACATGCCCCTTAAGGGAAAAACAACCTCCAGGAGAAGAAGAGCTGCAAATTAGCCTGCATAACGTGACTCTACTGTATGCAAAAGGAAGTCCGCTTTGTATTGTAGTCTATGAGCAAATGACCCTGCTTTTCACATGATTTATGACCTAAATTATATTTGAGATATTTATGTTGGAACGTATGGTCCCTTTAAGAAAAACAAGCATGCTTTGGGGCATGGCTACCTTGTGACTGGTAGGTTGCTACCACGGTGATTAACCAGCATTTTGATACACTATATCACAAAGTGCATATTGTCTAAATACTTTAGCTTAACTTACAGAAAAGGGTGTTGAAGTGAAAGTGTAAGTAGTGAAGTATTGAATTGGCAGCTTCTAAGACTTAGTCTTATAAGACTTAGTTCTCTGTTCTTAACCCAATTAGTGGTGCACAACACAGCAGTTTTAAGGCATTTTTCTGTTTTGCTAATAGAGAAATATGAAAGAAAGTCAATGGAGATCGATTCACTTGTTTCTTCTTCCGGACTTAAGTGTACCCTGTCTCTATGTACAGTGTATATACAATTATAATGGTTAGACTTATACAAATCAAGACCAACAAGTCCAAAACTGTCATAAGTTAAGTATCATCAGCTTCAGAGTCTCCTCTATTTTTTTCCAGTCACTGGAATTGCACTTTTATTTTTACCAGTTGGTCTTTTGGAGCTTGCTTTGCAATATGTTGGCTGGCTCTTGGTAATTCCTCTTGCACACACTCATACACACAGACAAGCACCGTGCCAGTACTACCAAGGGAGCAACCTGGAGACCTCGGTGAGCAGTCTGGGCAGATCGTCTGCTGTTCTTTGTGGCTAACCTCTCAACATTTATGTATTGGACTAAGCTTCCCTCCTGGCCTGCTGCTAGCTGCGAGCAGCATGCCAAAAAGTACTAAAAAGTGTGAAAACAACACTGACATTGGATTCATAACAAGTCTGAATAGTAGTAGTAGTAGTAGTAAAAGTAGTAGTAGAGAAAAACACATAAAAAGAATTCTAACAATGCAATAAGGTGCAGGTCATGAAGTAGCCGCGCTTCAGCCGTAATGAGGAAAGGACCTCTCGTTCTATTGAAGGATGTATTCAGGAAGCTCTTATTAACTCCTGACCAGAGCTGAACTCCTCCAGGTTGGCTGTGGTCTAAATGGGAAATGCTATAACGGATCTAAATACCCTCCTCTTTCCTAATTTGTGGCTGTGGAACAACTGAGTGTTTCTCTACCAGAGGGAGAAAAACCATATGCAAACCCACACAGAGTGTCAAAGTGTTTTTCTCGAAAACCATCTCATGAGTTTAGCTAGAGGGTTGAGTGGTAAATGAGTCCCTACGGAGAAAATATATCAGTTTTTTTGGCAAGCTTGTTTTTTTAGAATGATATCTAATGTGTGTGTGTCTCCTTCTCTGTCTGTCTGTCTGTGTCTGTGTGTGTTTGTGATAGTGACGTGCATGTGATGCTTGCAAAAACACGGTCTGTGATTAGAAATAATAATGGTTTATTGATTTACCTGGCTTTTCTGGAATCTGATTCTCTGACGTCAATGCTTTGTGCTGAGTCCCTCATTATAAAGCACTTAACTTCTGAAGAAAAATACCTTATACGTTCTTTACAGACAGGTAAAATGTAGCATCTGTCCTTGAGTATAATGTGTTTATTTTTCCCCCATCAGCCTAAGATTCTGCGTCCAGCACTGCTCCCTGGAGAGGAGTTTGTGTCAGAGGGGTTGCGGGTTCTTCTGGACCCTGACGGCAGAGAGGAGGCCACCGGGGGTCTTCTGGGGGGCCCCCACATCCTGCCAGCAGAGGGAGCCCTCTTTCTCACCACATATCGCATCATCTTTAAAGGCACCCCCCATGATCCACTCGGTAAAAACTGAACAACACCAACATTAGCTTTTAGTTTAAGCTACATTTCTAGGTTTATGGAAACAAATTATGCTTTTGATTAAATGAAATGTATTTCAATTTTTAGAACTAAGTACAACATTTTCCTTGGACTTCAGTGCATTCTTAAGTCTCAAATAGCAGCAGACTCAACCCTCTTCATTAACGAATGACCTTTCAAAACCATTAAAGTTATTAGTAGATCTGGTGCCTTGGTGACATCACAAGTTCATGTCTGACCCTCAAAAAAACGTCCTCTTTGTGTCCAGTAGGGGAGCAGGCAGTGATCCGAGCTTTCCCAGTGTCCTCGCTGACCAAAGAGAAGAAGATCAGCATCCAGAACCAGCTGCAGCAGAACATGCAGGAAGGCCTGCAGCTCCGCTCCGCGTCCTTCCAGGTAATAAACGAAACACACTGCAATCTGATCTTAGTCCCGGGTGGACAAACTAAGTTTCCTAAGATTTTAAATGGATGGGTGGACATGGTGCTCAAATGGTTACTTAATCAATTCAATTCAATTCAAAGGGGCTTTATTGGCATGAAAGTTAAATTAAACAATGTTGCCAAAGCATCACAATACAAAATAATTAACAACATTAACATACATTTCAAATGTTTACACACACACACACACACACACACACACACACACACACACACACACACACACACACACACACTCTCTCTCACACACTTAATCTATGGTTCTGTTTCTCAAATAATAAATACATGTTATTATATCATCTGAAGTACAGGTTACCACACAATCAAGAGTCCATCATTTCCTGATGTGTGAATATTTATGCTTTTATCTGGATAATTTGTGTCTGTGTGGCCCAAAACAATACATTTGAAAAACCCAACAGGTCTCTTTCCAGGAATCTTGACATAGATCCTCAAAATAACTGATTCTAAGAATCAACGAGAAAAGCTAATTTCAGCCAAGCATGTGTTTCTTTAGGATTTATATATCCTGCTGTAAAAGTTTTTATGGTTCATTCCTATCTTTTTATTAACATGAAAGATGCAAGTGTCAACTCTTAACCCTTGAGATGTTTTCTACATTTAAGATAGCCTCAACCCACGTTGCTTGGGCTGGACTGATACAAATTCAGTGATTTATCAAATGTTGCGTGTTTCGTTAAATAATCATTTTCATGAATACCTCTTACAGCTGATAAAGGTGGCTTTTGATGAGGAGGTGAGCTCGGAGATGGTGGAGATCTTCAGAAAGCACCTGCAGAGGATCCGCTACCCCCAGTCCATCTTCAGCTGCTTTGCTTTCGCAGCCGGACAAACAGCTCCTCTGCTCATCCTCCCAAAACAGAAAGAGAGGAACACTGGCTTCAGGTGTGTGGTGCAGCTTTACAGCAACAAGAGGATGTAGATCTGGTTAATTTACCAAACATCACTGCGGGGTGACCCCAGCAGGGTTTCAAGCTTCATTTATAAAAGCTTTCAAATTTAAAATCAACATATGAATGCTGTGTAGCTTCTTTTTTTGCAATACTATTTATTTGTGTGGTATATTTGATTGTCTGCATAGCTTTATATAAATAATAGGCTACACTTGTCATATTAGTATTATATTATTCGTAGAATACGAGTGCATTGTGGAAGCTTCTTGAAAATATCAGCGGTTTGGGAGGGCGGGTGACTGAGCAGCATTCTGAGTAAGTTATTAATAACTTACATCATGTGCAATTGTCCACTTTCTCTTTCCCTCTCTCTTGAAGACGTGCACAGAAAGAGTCACTTATAGGGTTCGTACGGGTGCTTGAAATCCTTGAAAATGCTTGAAATTTGAGGTGGTGTTTTCAAGGTTGGGAAAGTGCTTGAATTTTGGGAATGGTGCTTGAAATTGAGATAAAGTGCTTGAAAATGTAAATGCTTTACTTTTACAATAAATGGCTGTCTGACTGAATAGTTCGCTTTTTAGATTAAAAGAAAAGAATTGCTTCGCTTCTACATAAAACAGCTCCGTTGCGACCTTCCTGCGCTATGCGCGCGACCTGCAAGTGTTTGTATTACGTGTGACCTGGGCATTCTGATGAGTGATAGATGACAGTGTGCCAGGAGGTTTCAAGGAGCGTTGGCCATCAGAAGACAAATAGAAGCCATGGCTAAGACGAGGGTCAAGCCCACGAGTAGCCTCCTGCAAAGTTTGCAAAAATAACGATGCGAGAGTCTGCGCTGACGAGCCACATGAAAGGTACGCCGTAGTAGAGCATTTCAGATTAGGCTAACGTTGCATGTTACGTTTGTTTAAGCTAACGTTAGCGAGCTGAATAGCGAACTCGATTGAGGGATAATAATAATTGAAGGGGACAATCATTTCAGAGGAGCGTACCTATGTGCGTTACAGTCGCCATCCTGTGGTGTTCAGAGGATGAAGCACTCGCGGCATTTCGTGTTATAGTCACGAAATATAACCTATTGATTCAACACAGAGCGATTTTGAAAGCAATGTATCTACTGGTAGTATGTTTCGTGCCTAAACCAAATGTGACTTGCTCTATCGAAATCAGTCACATTGACCCGAAGACACATTTTCGTTTGTAAACTGTTCTGGGGGAAGCTCGCGAGTGTGTTTGTGTATTTTGCGTTTGTGTACCGGGGAAACACTTACAAGAAACACCGGCTGTTGTTATGCTTGCTGTGATGTTACATTAGTCCGTTCTCTGCTTGTAATTATGCCGTTACAAGCTTCAAAGTTGTATTTATCATCTGAATTTGCCGAAACAAGTTTAATATTCTGAAAGCCATTACTTTGTTTATTTGAAAACAGATTAAAACAAACTGTCTTTTATATAAAATTGAAGTATTATACAAGTAAAACTACATTTTGCTTTAATCCCATGTAATTGTAGAACAAACACAGTCTTCCTTTGACCTATTCTCCCACGAAAAAGAAACCGTGTCGTACTTTCTTTCCGTTTACTTACCGACACTAAATCATAAAAATTCGCTCAACTCAAGTTAGTAAACATGCCGGGAGCTCCATCAACATTTAAACTTTTTTTTTTCCAAGGGGTGGACGGCCTCTCCGGAACTAACATACTGAATTGTAGAGAGCAGAGATACCTAGACTCAATATAATATTTCTTTATCGTTCAATTACTTCGTAATATCGTGTCGGAAACAGTCTACCATATAATGCGCACAAAAAAAAAGACGAAGCTTATCAAGAGAGAAAAAGTGGTATGCACACAAAACGTAGGGGACAAACACAGTCAAAATTGTAGCGGAGAAGGTAAGTGGTAAAAGTAGTACTTTAATTATAATTATAAATTGATGGTACGTGACGGAATGGCAAAAGTATCAAATTGTCCCAGGAATGTGGAAAGTTTCAGTCTTAGTCGTGAAAAGTTCGGTAAAAGTTTCCACGTAAAAGGTCGAAGAAGGTCGACAACATTTAATTTAATAATATATGGTGTATGAGTTTCTAAATAAAGGTGATGGAGTGTAATTTAATCTACAAGAAATACGATATTTGTTGGTGTAAACACAAAGCACTACGGAAGAAGTGCTCCACTCTTTCGGTGTTCATGTGACGTCATATGTATCAGTAAGTTTGAATCGACGTAGACATGCATCGAACTCCGTGTGGAAGTATAGTTGGCTACTAGACTTGTAGTTATATAAGACTTTTACGGCTAGACGGGTTACTGATGAAAAGACAGCAATGAAGTAATGATAAAACTACATTATGAAAGATCAAGTGACCGTCATTTGTAAAATTAAGTCCTGAAAAGACACTTACCACATAAGAATGAGTGAATGTATATGAAATAGTATGTCAGAAATGAAGATGAAAAGATACATGTTTAACTCACTGAAGATGAGTATAGAGATCATGTTCTAGCTCATTGAAGATAAAATGGCACTGTCTCATATAGGAGTGAGACATGAAGACGAAATATGAGTTCAGTAAGTTCTGATCGACGATGAAATCATGTTCGAGACCTCTTGGTGAAATGGTACATAGTTCTAGTACTCATTAAGAATGAAATGAGTTCATGTTATATACTCATGAAGATGGACATGGTTAGTTCGTGTTCTAGACTCATGAAGAATGGACTGAGTCAGCTAGACTATGAAGAGAAGATGATATAAAACGTACTGGACTATATGAAAACGAGTGAATGTTCTAGACTCATTGTGGAAAGTAAGTTACGTCCTAGACTGTGAAGATGAAACTGAGTCTCATAAGTATATGGACTCAATGAAGATGAAAGTGAGGTTTCATGTTGTAGACTACTCAATGAAGATGAAAAATGAAGTTCATGTTCTAGACTCATAGAAGATGGAAATGATTCATGGTTATAGACTCATGAAAATATAGACATCGAACGGACTGAAGTATCGGGTGTTTTAGTGCGTCTCGACGTATTTTATCTGAGTGTTACATTTGTTCACCTTTTAATTATAAATGTCTACACATTTCTAAACATCCCATTTAAAACTGATGAGTTCGGTGGAACTG